TGTTAGTGTTGTAATAACCACTAAAAAAAAAAATCACTCCTTCATTGTCCCTTGCATGATACTATAGTGTGTCTGAAGTCCAGAGCTGGAACAGTCTCCTGTTGGTTCCTCTAGGACTCTAGAAGACCCTGAGAGGTGTTTCACAGGACCCAGAGGCTGACATATGCACTTTCCCAAATCTCTGCTACAGGTTCCCAGGAATGTGGTCATGCAGGGGTGAGGGGGAACGGACTCACTGTCAGGACTTTGTGGATTCTCCCCTAGTCTCTTAAGACACAAGATCGTTAGGGTCCCTCCGTTTCTTTCTGTCTCTGACTCTCCCTGCCTCTGTGCTTACCAGTGTTACTTTCTTCACGTATTTTTTTTCTCTGAGCACAGAATCATACCCGGACTTGCCTACATTCGCATCCTGGTATTTCCCACAGGGGATCATACCAATTTGAGTCTTCTTCACAGCTAGCCTAATAGTACTTACATCTCTAGTCATATTTCCTCAAAGACCCACCAACTCCATGATTTCTCCCCATCTCCACAGTGGTGATTATCTTTAGAGGAACACATTGTTCTCTGCTCTGATTCCCTTCTACTCCGAATACCAGGAAAGGTGGTGGCTTTCCAGCTATTCCCCCATCTCCGCAGTGGTATCTCCCTGCTGAGGGTGGGGGGTGGGGAAGCGGAGGCAGGGGCTGTAGCCCTCAGCTCTAAAAGCCACACGTTATTAGTGTGCCTTTGTACAAAAGGCCTAATCTTATCGCCAAGTGTTCAAATTCCTCACAAAATCTCATCCCTTCTAAACATTAAGAGGCAGATTTTTCCCCACTGTACGGAATGGCAAAGGCTATAAAGATGTCCGCTCCCTTGAAAACATGGCTTATTGGCGCATCCATTTTTCTTGCCTGCAAATTCGATCCTTGTGGTAATCAAAATATTTAGGACTGCTAGCGCTGATGGCTTCAGGAAGGGCTACTGCGCATGAGCAAGTTTAGTGACTGACAGTAACCAAGGCGGGGTAAAGGACTAAAAAGTGGCCGTCACAGGAAGTTATGACTGATTGGGAAACATTAAAGAGACTTTGCCGGCATAAGAATTCAGATTTTAAGATTGGAGAAGGGAGTGAAGGAAAGCGGAGTTCACTCAAAGCGGAAGTGGGAGGGCTGGTATTCAGGCAGGCCAAGTGAGACAGGCTAGTGTAGACTCCGCAAAGACGCGAATTTACTGGGTGAGTATTTGGGGAGGGGCTCAAATACGAGTACTGAGAATCTGGGCAGGGGGCTGCAAGCAGTGTGATGGAGATACATTGAATGAGTTAGAGGGTCTGTGGAGGCTTTGATCGAGGCGGGCTGTGGAATGAATGATGGGAATATGTGGGTTTTGTGATGATCAGGCTGTAGAGTGAGTGATAGGGTCAGTAGTGTAAGTGATGTGGGGCTCTGTGGGATATACGATTGGGAGTTTTAGGGAATCTGTGATAAATATACAACGGCCTATGAGGCGCATCACAGATCTGTATTGTTGGATGATGGGAACCCATGGGGGAAAACAAATGTCCTTACCCTTTTTTCTTAGCTATACAGTGACTGTTTCACCACATGGCATTTGTGGATTTCTGGCCTGATGATTTGGTGAATTTTCAATCTGGGTATCCTTGCCATCTGAAGCTCTTCTCTTTTCTTCTCCCTCTCAACAGTTCTGCCTTTTTAGGCCTTTGCCTTCTTGCCACAACAATCAGTCATGACTGAGTCCTTGGTAAGTTCTTACTTGCTTCTCCCAACTACCCTCTGTCCTTATTAGGATAGAAGCAATATTGTATGGTGGTAAAGACTATAGAATCTGCAGCTAAATTGCTTTTACCAGCTTTAGGAGCTTACCAAAGCTCTCAGTGCCCTGGTTTCCTTAACTGTAAAATGGGAATGGTTAGGATGATAATGATAGTAATACTTACCTTGTATGGTGATTGTGAATGTCAATTGATTTAATGTATGTTTAGAACAATGCCTTGATGCATACATAATAAACCTTATATATGAGTATATGAATTAGTGTATTATTATTTATTCTATAAAGTGGGTATGTATAAACACAAAGTTTAAGGATATATAACAAGACCAGCATAAGTATGAAATATGTATCTGTGTGTGTGTGTGTGTGTGTGTGTGTGTGTGTGTGTGTGTGTCATAGGATTTTATATATTTATGTTAAGGTACAGTTACTTTTCTGAGCTTTCTGTAAGCCACAACAGAAAGGTAACAAAACATATTCACTTGTTTTATCTAACCTTACAAGACAGTAAGCCACTTGCATAGATGCTTAGATTTCCTGATATTGATCAGACAGTCCTCTGATGGGTCCCTTCAAGTCCCTATTAGAAAACTTATGATAAACACAGGGTTAATATTGCTCTGATGAGACTTAAATTATCTTCCTGTCAACCAAAGCTGTCTTGCTGAAGCAAAACTAAAAGGGATGTGACTGTTTAGGAAAGCCAAGCCAAGCCTACACAAACATGTTCTGGACTGCATGTGAATAAAACCTTGGTGTCAAGGAAGATGATATAAGCCATATGTCCTTCAAATTATTTTCCAGTAGTTTTTATATAGTTTTTATTATCTAGCTGAAAACCCTGAGAAACCCATAGGATTGTCCTTTTACTTTTAGTCTCAGAGTTCATGACATCCTGACCATTTTACATTCTTTCCCTTCTGCCCTTCTTTTACAAGTCTGTATTGTTTCATCTTCATACAAAAGTGGGATAAGAATGGCACCAGAATTAAAACTTCTCTAATGAGCATAGTTACACATTTATTATCCCAATTTTCAGGAGGTGGGGGGCAGGATAATCAAGAATTTGAAGGTAGCCTGGGTTACCTAATTAGTTCCAAGCCAACCCAAGCTATGTAGCAAGACTTTCTAAAAAAAAATCAAGGATCAATTCAAAACACACAGGCACGCACACACATATGTACACACACACGCCCACCCAGAAAGATAAAGGGTGTAGCAAGTGGTAGTTTGTCTAGCATTCTGTGGGACTTGGATTCAATCCAGGAAATAAACTCTGGAAGTGTAAAAGAGGACACTAGCTCATTTGGCAGAGTGCTAACATGGTCAAGAGGCCCTTTGTTCTACTCCCAGGAAAACAATAATACTAAATAAAATAAAAAGGGAAAAAGGATCTCATGATATCATATCACCAATCATTGCAGATCGTTTGAAGTTGGTTAACTTCTGCCCTCTCTGCCTTGTTCTTTCTATATGTACATATAATTCGAAACATAATAGTTAAAATTAACTCATTAATAAAAACTTTTGCAACTCTTTGTCTTCCCTTTACATTGTAATATTTGGTCATAGCAGTACAAAGTGAGCATCCCTAATCTGAAAATCTAAATTCCCCAAAGCTACAAAATATGCAGCTTTGTGCTTTGTGAACATGATGCCTCAAGTGGGAAATTCCACAACTGACCTTATGTGATGATGGGTCGTGTACAAAATGCAAACATACTGAAAGTATTTTACAAAATTACCTTAAACAGTATATATATGAACAAATGAATTTCATGTGTCCATTTGGCTCTCATCCCTAAAATATCTTATCATGTGAAGATATATAAATATTCAAAAAAATCCCAAATCTAAACTACTTCTTTGTCTCAAGCATTTTAGATAAGGACAACTCAATCTGTAGTAGTAATGATGATGACAAAACACAAGGTGGTGCTAATGGTAATAGGAGTGGCAGCAAGTGAGCTTATACTATGCATAGCTCTATACTAAAAAATACTTTATATGCATAGGCAATTTTAATACTCATAATAACACTATGAAATGGATACAATTATCATTCACATCTTCCAGGTGAGGAACAGAGTAGATAAGCAAGTGATCACTGGCACAGCTGGGGTAAAATATAAGATAGTTTTTTACAGATGTTTCAGTATCAGGGACACAGAAGGCTTTTGTTGTATTTTTTAGCATCAGCGCAGAGGAAGGAACCCCAGGCCTCCTACGTGCTAAATAAGTTCTCTACCGCTGAACTGCACATCTAGCTAGTTGAGATTTTATTTTGTTTTCTTCAATTTTTTGTTTTAGTTTTGAGATAGGGTTTCACACGTGTAGCCTGAGCTAGCCTTGAATTTGGGATTCTCCTGCCTCGGCTTCCTGAGTGCTGAGATTATAGGGATATGCCACCAAAGCTGGTTCACATAGGAATATTTTAAACAGCTATATTTTTCTCTTGTATTCATACACCATGATTTATTGATGAACATCATGTTGAAGGACCTCTGTGTGGTGATCTCTTGTCATCTTTGTTTTCAGAGATGAGCATTTCTAAAGTGTTTGCTTTAAAAGGTGGGTGTGTTGTGAGCTTGCTTAGATATCATCAAATTGCATTTTGAAATGTTAATACAAGTTGACAGCTTCTCTAATAATGAGTGAAAAGACCCTTGTGAATCCTTTTGTCATAATTTTAAGATTTGCAATGTGATAGTTGGAAATATTTTATGTTTTAGTTTGTGTTTATCAATATGGTTGAACAACTTTATGTTTTTCTCTTTTTATATTACTTTTGTGGATTCTTTTTCAAATACTGTTTTCTTTTTCCACTTGGGGTTTAAAATCCTTGTCTTTCTATTTTTAAACCTTTTGTAGAAATATAACTTAGACAAAAAATCTTATGTTGATTTATTGAAATATAGCATAAGTAGAAAAACATATAAAGTATACAGTTTCATGAACTTCTACAGATTGAAAACACATATGTAAGTAATACTTGGATCAAAAAAGAAGAGGAAATGACATGCCTTCCAGAAACTTCCATGCCATTTCTAATCATTAGCTCTTGATTTATAATAACCACTTTCTAATTTCTATCATCATAATTTACTTTTTCTCTTCTTGAATTTCACATAAATAGAAATATACATATTATTATTTTGATCTGACTGCTTTCACTTGTCATGATTTTTTTGTGATGCTGGGAATGGAACCCAAGGCCTCACAAATGTTAGGTAAGCACTTTTCCACTGAGCTATATCTCCAGCCCATCATGTTTTATATTTACATTCTTGTTACTTTAGGTATAAGTATAATTTGTTCTATTTCTGTTATTATATACCATTCTATTGCATAAGTAGTTCACAATTACTCTTCAAATCCACTGATGATGGATGTTTCCATTTTGGCTATTATAAACAATATTTCTGGGAATATTTTTGTTTATGTATTAGTGAACCTGTGTGCACATTTCCATTAGATATATACCAAAGAATGAGGTTACAATTTTGTAAGTTAGAAGTATTTTCAGTTTTAGCAATTCTACCAAGCCATTTTCCAAAGTGTCTGTACCATTTTACTCCTACCAGCAAAGTATGAAAATTTGTGTTTCTCCACATCACTGCCAACATTTAGGTTGTTAGTTTTAATTTTAGCTGTTCCGTTGGAAAATACTAGTATTAGTATCTCAGTGTAGCTTAAGTGTGTGTTTCTCTGATGACTAATAATGTTAAGCATCTTTTTGTATGTTTATTCACCATTTGGATATTGTCTTTTGTGAAATACCTATTAAATATTTTTCTTTTTTCTATTGGATTATCAATATTTATCTCATTACTTCTTAATAGTTTCCATAGTACAAGAGTCCTTTGCTTTGATTAGATATTGCAAATCTTGAAGAAGGCTGTTGCAGTGCTGAGGATGGAGCTTGGGGCCATACTGTGCATACTGGTCAAGTATTCTACCACTGAGCTACACCCCTAGTCCCTAAGAAGGATTTTTAAAATGGTAAAACAATAGCTTCTCCTTGAAGAATATTTTGTTTACCATAAAGAACATTATCACTTCAATTAGCCTAGTCTAATCTCTCTCTCTCTCTCTCTCTCTCTCTCTCTCTCTCTCTCTCTCCCTGCCCCCTCTCTCTCACACATTATAATCCATAAATATGTACAATTTTAATATGTCAATTTTTAAAAGAATATTAAAACAAATATTTACTAACATTTTGAGAGAAATAGTATCACTAATTTTTACCAATAAAAGTATGCAATTGCAGGGATCAGTGTCATTCGAGGATGTGTCTGTGGACTTCACCCAGGAAGAGTGGAATCAACTGGACCCTATTCAAAGGAGCCTATACAGAGATGTGATGCTAGAGAATTATAGCCATCTTGTCTCTTTGGGTAAGGATGGCTTGTTGAATAATTCATGGTGTCACCAATTGTGTCTCTAAAGTATTCTAATACTCTGGGTTCTAGAGATTTAATTTCTTATTTCCTCTTAAACAAGATGATAATTGCCTATGTGAAACATACCTTTACTAAAACACACCTTACTAATTTTTTAACTGAATGTCACACAGAGTAGCCAAGTCTTGTATGATTTCCCACTACAGGGTATCCTATTACCAAACCAGATGTAATCACCTCTTTGGAGCAAGGGGTCCTTGGCATCATAAAGAGAGAAATCCCGAGTTCAAGTTGCACAGGTAAGAAGGGAGAATTGGAAGATGGTGAGAGCAAGGCCTTAGATGCTCTGGTAAAGGTTTTACATTTTTAAAATCTCAAAAGTATCTTCTTAAATGTTATATATACTCTTACTGCTCATTCCAAATTGTTTAGTAGGTTTCTCTCATAGTAACCTTTGAATGAGCTGTTAAGAAACTGGGCCCTATTCTGGCTTATTCATTCTGCTTCTTTTTTCATTCACTTCAATCATTTCCAGCCTTTCTTAAAAGATATTTGCATTCTGGGTGTCCCTGACCCCAATTGTGGGTTTACTGTCTTTCCAGTATCCATTTTCCAAGTGGCTCTCTGAACTGTATTTAGTTTCTCCAGTTTTAAGCTAACAATTATATCACTTATATTTATTGTTATTTTCCTGGTCCAACATCTTTTGGAGCACCGTGGGTTTTGTTCCCTCAAGCTCTGAGTGTAAGAGAGATACATACTTGGAATCTCTTTCTGAGCAGTACATGGACATAGAAGAAATTAAAGAACAGCACTATCAGAAGCCTGCTTCTGACTAGGTGTTTTTACAGAGTCTGGTTTATTCTTCTTCTTTATAGAAGATGGGCAAACTGAAGACTACCTGGAGTGGCATCAGGAAAACCAAAATATACACCTGGAGCAGGCTGTATCCATTTTTGAGAAAAATGTGACTGAAAGAAGTTATGAATATGATGAATTTGTAAGCCCACTTCCTCAGAACACATGGGTAGTTACTTCAGGACCCACACCCTATATGAATAACTCATTTGAGGAAAGTATTAAAGATAATTTAGGTTTACTCAATCCTAGTAGTTTGAGCTTTGCAGCTCAGGAATGTTATGAATGTAATAGATGTAGGAAATTATTAATTCCTGGCAGACATGAGATAAATGATGGAATGAAATTCCATGACCATAATATGTATGGTAAAGATTATATTTATAATTTTGTTCAACATGACTTGACTCAACTTGGAGACAGAAGCTATGAATGTCCTGAGTGTAGAATAACCCTCAGCCCAAGTTCATTCCTTATTGTTCATCGGATCACTCACATAGGAGAAAAGCCTTATGAATGGGCAGGATGCAGAGAGGCATTCAACAACACAGCACACCTCAGTCTACATCAAACAATGCACACAGGAGATAAACTCTTTGAGTGTAATGAATGTGGTAAATCCTTCAGAGAGGAATCAACACTGCATATACATCAAAGAACACATACAGGTGAAAAACCATATATATGCACTGAATGTGGCAGTGCATTCCAAGAAAAAACAAATCTCATCATACATCGGAGAACTCACAAAGGAGAAAAACCCTATAAATGTACAGATTGTGAGAAAACCTTCAACCAAAAGGCACATCTAAATGTACATCAGAGAACACACACAGGAGAGAAACCTTTTGAATGTACTGATTGTGGCAAGTACTTCAGAGAGAAATCAACACTGAATATACATCAAAGAACCCATACAGGAGAGAAACCATATGTATGCAATGAGTGTGGCAAAGCCTTCAGAGAAAAGACAAAACTCATTATACATCAGAGAACTCACACAGGAGAGAAACCCTATGAATGTTCAGAATGTGGGAGAGCCTTCAACCAAAAGGCACACCTCAGTGTACATCAGAGAACACACACAGGAGAGAAACCTTTTGAATGCAATGAATGTGGCAAAGCTTTCAGAGAAAGATCAACACTGCGTAGACATCAAAGAATTCATACAGGAGAAAAACCTTATGTGTGTTCAGAATGTGGAAGAGCCTTTACCCTTAAGCTGAGCCTCAGTGCTCATCAGAGAATTCATACAGGGGAAAAAACAGATGGGTGTACAGTATGTGGAAAAGTCTTCTCCCGAAAATCATACCTCATGTTACATCAGAGAGCTCATACAAGAGAAAAATTTGAAAAATCATATGAATGCAATGAATGTGATAAAGCATTCTTCCAGAAATCATATCTCATTATTCACCAGAGAGTCCACACAGGGGAAAAACCCTATGAGTGTAACATGTGTGAGAAATCTTTCTCCCAAAAGTCATATCTCATTATTCATCAAAGAACCCATACAGGAGAGAAACCCTATCAATGTGATAAGTGTAGCAGAGCCTTTAGAGAAAAGTCCAAACTCACTGTGCATCAGAGAAATCACACAGGAGAGAAACCCTATAACTGCTCTGAATTGGAAAGAAACTTTCCAGATGTCAAAGTTCATCATGGATTAGAGAATGTAGAGATAAGAGAAAATGAATTGAAAATGGAAAATCTGTCATAATAAAATCAAAGAAAATGAAACTGTAAACAGTGTTGGGAAAGTTGTGCTGTATGTAGATAGGGTGCTTTGCTGAGGATATGTCAGTTGAGCTAAAAATTCAGCACCATCCACATTGGGAGATCATTCTGGGTAAAAGGAATAGAAAGATCCTCTTTGTTAAAGCAAAAAACTTGGTCTTTGTACTTTTGCATCATGGACCTATTGAATGATCATTTCCCATCAAAGAGGTTGCTCAATGCTGAAATCATTAGAAGTCTTGAATGTATGAAAGCTGTCAGATGGAAGACAAACCTGATCATAAATATGGGCATAAGTATCAAAGAAATTCAATTAATTAATTTCAATAAGTGTATTTCCTCAGAAGTGAAAAGAAATATATATTTCTAAATTTAATATCGAACTCTCATAGAAAAAAGAAACAAAAATCTTATTAGAAAAAGTGGTTTATCAAACAATTTTAAGTTAAAGATTTAAATATAACCATTAAAGGGGCAACAAATAAAATATTATAAAGTTCCAAATTATTATAATAGTCAGAACAATGTAAAGAAGATACCACTAGAGTATCAAATTCCAATTTTAACAGTTGACAATGCCAAGTTTCCACCCCAGCCTGATCTGGGAGGACTATAAGCTTCCAAGGACTATAAGCTGCCTAATAGGCTTTAAAAGACCTGTTTTTTACACAGATTCATCAGTTTACTTCTTCTGCTTTTGATGAATTCGGAATTCTGTCAATAGCCAGCATGGTGACAACCTTTAAAGACCTCCATGGAGATGTGAAATTTTGTTATCTATACTGATTGGGGCAAAATATAGGGGAATTCCAGTTGACATTAAGGAAGGGATCTTGAACTCTCCTTGCCATGCAGTGACAGCTAGCATGTTTTTAAGGATCATCCCTGCTTATTTTTGATGAACACTAAAAGCAAGGCTTTGCATTGTTGAGTAGCCACCCCCCATGACCATGGACTACAAAGGACATGAACAACTACTTCATGAGAATAGCTAATTCCAGTGGGACTGCCCAGGGGAATGAGAGCAAGTGGCAAGTTCTTAGCAGCTTTGATCAAGAAACAAACTGAAACTCAGGCATTCTGTAAAAAGAAATTATTGCTTTGTGCATCCATTGAATTCTTTGCCTAAATTCCAAGCCTGTCATTAGCAACTATGGATTTTGATTATGAAAGAGGTAATAAGAGGTTGGGGCTTAGAATGGTAGTATGTGGAAATATGTGGGAAAATGTGAACATTTTAAATTCTCAGTTCACACTGTGTAAGCTATATTTAATTTCATTCTCCCCTGAAGATACTGTAAGTGTCTTAAATAAAGACCCTGTAGTGACCTCATCTGAAAATGATGCTTTTTAAGGTAAGACATTTTTCATATCCTTACACACCCAACCCCTCTATCCAAAACTGTAACTGACTTTTTATTGAGATAGAGTCTCACTATGTAGGCCATGCTGGCCCTATGCTTGTGATCTTCCTGCCTTTGCCACTTAAGTACTGGTATTACAAACATGTACTACCACATGCAGATCTTTAATAGAATTTTTTATCCAAGCACTATATGTGTTTTCCAAACTTCAGTTCATTAAATCTTCCAAATAAACCCCAGGAGTTATTTCTCTCATTATCATCCTCATTTTTCAGATTTGGAAACAGGCAGAGAAAAATTCAGTAACTCTTTAAAGGAAGCACAACCAGTAAGTGGTAGATACAATATTTAAACCAAGGAAAATCTATGCTCTTGATTACTATACCATCCTCCCCAACCCTGAAGTGATCTTGTATCTCCAGATTAGATCTATAAAGCTATGGAGGAAAGGGTTGAATGGGAGTACTTTCAGACACTAAAAAACATGAAGAAAATCAAAACATCTGACAGGTAGTAGATCTTGCATTAGTTATAGATGCCATTTTTTATTAAACCCACAAAAGAAAAAATGGAATCTCTATACTTATGAAATCTGAGTCACCACTCAGTATGGCTTGAGTCAGTTTTCAGATGCACATCACACCCCTTGAGCCATTCAGATAAATCATGACCAGCACAGTGCCGGCTCCAAGAATCCCTGGGAAATAAAAGGAGGAATGGAAAATAAAGTGGACAAGTTGATGGAGCAGTAGCATCATTTTTTGTGGCTGTCCATGATCCAGACCATCCCTATGAACTTACCAGGCATTCATACTCTTATGTAAGGATACAACATGCTTGGCACATGCGATGTCATCAATGATATGGTTGTTGAGCAGGTCTGGTGAAGGGAGAGAAGGATGGGATGATCTGGTGCACTAAGGATGCAATAAAATGTTTGAAGGCCCTAAAGTTTCTGGATTCTTTAGAGCCTAAATAACATTAGCTATGATGTTGGCCAATTGTAAGTTACTTTCATTCTTTGCTAAATAGTCATAAACTGTTTCACCTGCCATGTTGACTGGTGTTATACAATCTTAACTCATTACGAATGATCCTGTTTGACTTCGACTATCATGTTGGCTGGTTATGAATAACCCCAACCACCACAATGAGGCCCTGAACACCTTCCAACTCCACATTGGCCAACTCTGAATGACATCAACTGTTGTCATGTCTCAGGTTGAATGGTGTCAACTATAATGTTGGCTGGTCTGGCTTTGCCTCTACTACCATGTGGCTAATTAGGAACCACTTTCTTTCTATATTGGTCATTCCTGATGACTTCAGACCCTATGTGGTTAGGTCCTTGATAAGCTAAACTCCTATCTGACTGTTATAAATTAATTCAGTCAGGGCTGAAGAGATAGTGCAGCAGTTAGGAGTACTTGCTTCTCTTGAAAAAGACCCACGTTTAATTCCTAAAACCCACATGGCAGCTCACAATTCCAGGGGATCTGACCCCTTTTTCTGACCCATCTACAAGCACCAGGAATGGACATAGTGCATATATATGCATGCCCATAAAACATTCTTACACATAAAATGTGAATAAATATTTTTTAAAAATAAATGATCTTAATCTTCATACTGGCTGGCTACATTCAATTTTACCCATCATAGTGCATAGTTCTCCATAATCTGAACTGCCATGTTGGTAGTCCAGGATAACATTTATTTACAATTTGCCTAATGATTTCAACCACCATGTTGACTAGCCCTGGAAAATCTGTATTACTTATATGTATGTGGGTGTATGCCACAAGTGTCGGGTGCTCATGGGGGCAGGAAGAGGATATCAGATCCCCATTAGTGCTAGGACCTAAACTTGGGTCCTCTAGAAGAGCATCAAGCAGTCTTAAACACTGATCTATCTCTCTATCTCCCTAGAAAATCTTAACTACAAATGTGACTAGTTATAATTTTGTCCTCCATTTTAGCTAATCCTAAATGACCTTGATGGTCATGTTGTCCCAAACTGAACAAATTTATTTTCATTTTATCTACTCATTTAAAAGCTCATTATTCACTTGCCCTGTTTAAGACCATCTGAGATTCTGGATATCCTCAACCTTCAGTCTTGCCTGTCTTTTGTGACCACCTCTGTCATGTTCACAAGATTTAGATGGCCTCAACCTCCATTTGATCTGGCCTTAGGGAATCATAGTCTCCATTTTGGCCTGTTGTAGACAACCTCAGCCATCAGTTTGGTCAACCTTAAGAGAAATTTCAATTGCTATTATATTTTTCCTCAATAATACCACATTTTTGTCTGGAAAGTTCTCTCATTTCTTTCCCAGGGTGGTTTGGTTTTGTTCTTACTTCCATACTAATGCTTCTTTCCTTAGGACCTAGATAGTCTTCATTCCAGAGCAGGACATTCTTCCCCTCTATTTTACATGAAGCAAAGTTTCCTGTTCCCCAAATATCAAGAAAATTTCAGCTTGCATTTTAAGTGAGGTTGGGGAGATGGTAGGTATTTGCACTATTTCTGACCTAACAACTTCTTGGTGTAGAGTGGCTAAGGATTCAGGAAGCTTTCTCTATCAACCCAGAGACTTTCTTCCTTTCCCATTATTTTTCTGCCCCAGCAAGAGATTAATATTTAAAAGACATTCCAGCCAGATGTAATGGCACATGCCTTTAATCCTAGCATTCAGGAAGCAGAGGCAGGAGAATTTCTGAGTTTGAGGCCAGCCTGGAGAGAGATCCAAGGTCAAAAACAAACAAACAAACAAAAAACAACAAAAGACATTGCTTTCTGTGTGTGACATGGGGACCAGACAGGGCTTCTGTGTGTCCCCAGGGATGCCTTACCATTACAATTAATGTGACAGAGGTTCTGGGTGGATGTGACACCATTGTTACACCACCAGGCAGAGTTCAGCTGGAAAATGCCATATTCACTGCTGCCATCTGGATTGCGGTCCACAAAGGAGGTATCAAAGCCACTTTCATAGTGTGCCACGCACAGCCCTGGGACAGACAGAGGGTAGTTAGGAGGTGGGCATACACATAAAGAATAAGGAAGGCTAAGAGAAGGGGGGCGAATACAGATATGATTGTCATCTTAAGTTGTGAAGCTAGTTGTCTAGGATTGGTTGTGGATTGTTTATTCTGCTGACCTATCATTGATGCTGGTGGTGTATGGTAATAATTATGAAGATATTGATGGTAATGATGATGTTAATGATAGAGACATTGTGAAGACAGTGATGATGATGACTTTACAGTTGAATTAAACTAGTCATCATAATCAGGTGGTGACTGAAAAGATTGTGTCCTGGCCCAAAAAGATGAAAAATTACAAAAGAGGCCTGGATCTGAGTGAGGTAAGTGAATTGGGGTATGGATAAGACTTGGGGCAACGGGAATCTTACAGTCTCCCACAGTGTAGCCTCTGAAGCCATTGAGGCCAGCCTTCTCCAGCTTTCTTGCCAGCTCACAACGTTCATAAATCTTGGCATCCACAGTGGCGACCATCAGGGTGGCCAGGGTCACTACAACAGTGCTCCAGGCCTGCATGACACCCAAAAGCCGTTCTATCTGATTCCTTGCCTCAGACTCATCCTGTGATGATCAAAAAGTAGGGACATTCTGGAACTCTGGGCACTGTGAGCACCAGTCTGAACTATAGATTCTGGAACACAGAAGCTAGAGGGCTGGGGACTGTACCACTTTCCCTAATGTAAACTCTGTTAGAGACCGGGAGATACAAGAGAAAGAAAAACATTAACATATACACAAAAATGAAGGGAGATGAAGACAGGGAGAAACTCAGAAATATCAGAAAGACACAGGAAGAGAAGGATTGGGTATGCACAAAAGATGTACAGAACTTGGATACTTGTCCTCACAGTAGGCCCACATTTCTCTACATTCTTTAATACTGTCCTACCTTGTCCTAGGCTTGCTAATTCTAATTTACTACATGGCTACCTCCTTTTCTACTCACTCTGATGCTTGGTGCCTCTGTTACCCCCTCTGCTGAGTAGTCAGTTCTGTCTTCTACATTGTGTTTACTGTCACCCCTAGTTCCTTATGCTCTGCAGAACATGACCATCATGCCCTCACTCTACCCCTCATTACCTTTATTTACTCATAGTCCTGATCTGTTGGAACTGCTATAGCAGAATACCCAAGACTATGTAATTCACTAAGAACAAAAACACATTTCCACATAGTTTTGGAGGCCAATAAGTCCAAAATTACAGTGATGGCATCTGATGGGTGCTTTCTTGCCTTATTCTCACATGGTGGAAGGCAAAAGAACAAGAGAGTGAACCCATTTCTGCTTTTGGTAGTTGTTTTAGGTTTACTAAAACTGTGATGAAACATCATGACCAAAACAAGTTGGGAAGGAATGGGTTTATTTCAATGACAGTTTCATTTAACAGTTCATCATCAAAAGCACTTAGGGCAAGAACTCAAACAGGGCAGGATCCTGGAGGCAGGAGATGATACAGAGGCCATGGAACAGCACTGCTTATTGACTTGCTTCCATGGCCTGTTCAACTTGCTTTCATATAGAATCCAGGACCACCATCCCAGAGATGGTTCCACCCACAATGGGCTGGGCCCTCCCCCATCAATCACTGATTAAGAAAATGCCTTACAGGCTTATAGACTGCTTATAAGTCCAATCTAATGGAGGCAAATTCTTTTTTTAATTAATAAAAATAATTTATTAAGACCTTATATTCAGTAAATATATTTTATTTAATTTTTTCCATTTTATATAACAACCACTGTTCCCCCTCACTTCCCTTCTCCCGTTCCCCCCACCTCCCCTCACCCCCCCTCACTCCCATTCACTCCACATAGAGGGTAAGGCCTCCCTTGGGTAGTCAACACAGGCTGGCATACCAAGTTGTGGCAGGACTAAGCCCCTCCCCCCTGCATCAAGGATGAGTAAGGCATCCTACCATAGGGAATGGACTCAAAAAAGCCAGTCCATGTACCTGGGATAGGTCCTGGTCCCATTGTCAGGGGTCCCACAAACAGATCAAGCCACACAACTGTCACCCACATTCAGAGGGCCTAGTTCAGTGTCATGCAGGCTCCCCAGCTGTCAGTCCAGAGTCCCTGAGCTCCCACTAGCTCTGGTTAGCTATCTCTGTGGTTTTTTCTATCATGATCTTGACCTCCCCTTGCTCTTATCATCCCTCCTCCCTCTCTTGAAATGAACTCCAGGATCTTGGCCAAGTGCTTGGCTGTGGGTCTCTGCATTTCCTTTCTTTAGTTACTGAATGTAGATTCTATTATGACAATTAGGGTTGTCATCAATCTGAGTACAGGGGAAGGCTAGTTCAGGCACCCTCTCCATCATTGCTAGGAGTCTTAGCTGGGAACATTCTTGTGGGTTCCTGGAGATTTCCCTGGAACCAGGTTTCTCCCCATACTTGCTCACTCTGTCAAAATATCTATTTCATTGCTCTCCTGCTTTATTCATCCCCCAAATGTTGCCATCTTGATCACTCATGTTCCCATCCCCATCTCCCACCAGGACTCCCACCAGGAGTGAAGGAGTGTCCCCTTTCTCCACATCCTCCCCAACATAAGCTGTCATCAGTGTTTTTGATCTTAGCCATTCTGATACATGTAAGATGGTATCTCAGAGTCATTTTAATCTTTGTTTTGGTGATGGCTAAGAATGTTGAACAATTCCTAGAATGTCTTTTGGTCATTTGAGATTCTTCTGTTGAGAATTCTCTATTTAGATCTGCACCCAATTTTTTAATTGGATTTTATGGTACTTTGATGTCTAGTGTCTTGATTTCTTTATATATTTTGGAGATCAGCCCTCTGTCAAATGTGGGATTGATAAAGATTGTTTTACATTCTGTAGGATGCCATTTTGTCTTCTTTACCATGTCCTTTGCCTTATAGAAGCTTCTCAGTTTCAGGAGGTCCCATTTATTAATTGTTGCTCTCAGTGCCTGTGCTACTAGTGTTATATATAGGAAGTGATCTCCTGTGCCAATGCATTCAAGGCCATTTGCACTTTCCTATCAGGTTCAGAGTAACTGGATTTATGTTGAGGTCTTTGATTCACTCGTACTTGAGTTTTGTGCATGGTGATAGATATGGATCTATTTGCAATCTTCTACATGTTGACATCCAGTGATGCCAGCACCATTTGTTGAAGATGCTTTCTTTTTTCCATTGTACCATTTTAGCATGTCAAAAATCAGGTGTTCCTAGGTGTGTAGATTAATGTTAGGGTCTTAAATTTGATTCCATTGATCCACGTGTCTGTTTTTATGCCAATACCAAGCCATTTTTATTACTATAGCTCTATAATCTACTTGAAGTCAGGGATGGTAATGCCCCCAGAAGTTCCTTTATTGTATAGAATTGTTTTGGCTATCCTGGGTTTTTTGTTTTTCCATATGAAGTTGAGTATTGTTCTTTCCTTGTCTGTGAAGATTTGTGTTGGGATTTTGATGAAGATTGCATTGCATCTGTTGATTGCTTTTGGTAAGACTGACATTTTTACTATGTTGATCCTACCTATCCATGAGCATGGGAGATCTTTCCATATTCTGATATCATCTTTAATTTCTTTCTTCAAAGACTTAAAATTCTTGTCATATAGGCCTTTCACTTGTTTGGTTAGAGTTACCCCCAAGATATTTTATGTTATTTTGTGGCTATTGTAAAGGGTGATGTCTCTCTAATTTCTTTCTCAGCCCATTTATCATTTGTATATAGGAGGGTTACTGATTTTTTTTTTAGTTAATCTTGTATCCTGCCACATTACTGAAGGTGTTTATCAGCTGTAGGAGATCCCTGGCAGAATTTTGGTGATCACTATGTATACTATCATATCATCTGCAAATAGCAAAAGTTTGACTTCTTCTTTTCCTGTTTGTATCACTTTGATTTCCTTTTTTGTCTTTTTGCTCTAGCTAGAACTTCAAGTACTACTATACTGAATAGATATGGGAGAAAGTGGACAGCCTTGTCTTGTTCCTGATTTTAGTTCAATTGCTTTGAGTTTCACTCCATTTAATTTGATGTTGGCTGTCAGCTTGCTATATATTGTTTTTATTATGTTTAGGTATGTTCCTTGTGTCCCTGATCTCTCCAAGACCTTTATCATAAATGGGTATTGGATTTTGTCAAAGGTTTTTTTCAGCATCTAATGAGATAATCATGTGATTTTTTTCTTTCAGTTTGTTTATATGGTGTATTACATTGACACATTTTTGTATGTTGAACCATCTCTGTATCTCTGGGATGAAGCCTACTTGACCATGATGAATGATTTTTTATGTGATCTTGGATTCAGTTTACCAGTATTTTATTGAGTATTTTTGCATCAATGTTCATGTGGGAGATTAGTCTGTAATTCTCTTTCCTGTTTGCATCTTTGTGTGATTTTTGTATCAAGGTAACTGTAGCCTTATAAAAAGGGTTTGGCAATTTTCTATTGTTTTGGCAAAATTTTCTTCTCTTCCTATTGTGAGAAACAATTTAAGAAGTGTTAGTATTAGCTCTTCTTTGAAATTCAGGTAGAATTTTGCACTAAAACCATCTGGTCCTGGGCCTTTTTGGTTGGGAGAATTTTGATGACTGCTTATATTTCTTTAGGGGTCATAGGTCTATTTAAATTATTTATCTGATCTTGATTTAATTTTTTATGTGGTAAATATCCAGAAGATTGTCCATTTATTTTAGATTTTTTTTCAATTTTGTGGAGTACAGGTTTTTGAAGTATGACCTAAAGATTCTCTGGATTTCCTCATTGTTGTTATGTCCCCCTTTTTATCTGATTTTGTTAATTTGGATATTCTTTCTCTATCTTTTGGTTAATTTGGATAGGGATTTGTCTATTTTGTTGATTTTCCTCAAAAAACCAACTCTTTGTTTCATTGATTCTTTGTCTTGTTCTCTTTGTTTCTATTTTATTGATATCAGCCCTCAATTTAATTATTTTCTGTCATCTACTCCTCCTGGGTGAGTTTGTTTCTTTTTGTTCTGGAGCTTTCAGGTGTGCCATTAAGTCACTAGTGTAAGATTTCTCCATTTTCTTTATGTGGGCATTTAGTGCTATGAATTTCCCTCTTATCACTGCTTTCAAGGTGTCCCATAAGTTTGTATATGTTGTGGATTCATTTTCATTGAATTCCAGGAAGTCCTTAATTTCTTTCTTTCTTTCTTTCTTGACCCAGTGATGATTCATTTGAGAGTTGTTCAGTTTCCATGAGTTTGTAGGCTTTCTGCATTTATGTTGTTGTTGAATTCTAACTTTAACCCATGGTGATCTAATAAGATACAGGGGTCATTCCAATTTTTTTTGTATCTGTTGAGATTTGATTTGTTACCGAATATGTGGTCAATTTTGGAGAAGGTTCCATGAGGTGCTGAGAAGAAAGTGCATTATTTTGTGTTTGAGTGAAATGTTCTATAGATGTCTGTTAGGTCCCTTTGAGTCATAGCTTCTATTAGTTTCCTTATTTCTCTGTTAAGTTTCTGTTTGGCAGACCTGTCCAGTGGTGAGAGTGGGTAGTATGTAGAGTTTGATGTGCGATTTAAGCTTTAGTAATGTTTCTTTTATGTATGTGGGTGCCCTTGTATTTGGGGCATAGATGTTCAGAATTGAGAATTCATCTTGATGGATTTTCCTGTGATGAATATGAAATGTCCTTCTCCATCTTTTGATTAATTTCAGTTTGAAGTCTATTTTGTTAGATATTAGGATAGCTACACCAGCTTGCTTCTTAGGTCCATTTGATTGGAAAATCTTTTCCCAATCCTTTACTCTGAGGTAATGTCTATCTTTGAAGTTGAGGTATTTTTCTTGTATGCAGCAGAAAGATGGATCCTGTTTTCATACCCATTCTGTTAGCCTGTGTCTTTTTATAAATGAATTGAGTCCACTGATATTAAGAGGTAGTAATGACCATTATTTGTTAATTTCTGTTATTTTTTGGTTTGGGTGATGGTGGGGGTAGTGTGTGTGTGTGTGTGTGTGTGTGTGTGTGTGTGTGTGTGTGTGTGTGTTTCCCTTCTTTGTGATTTGCTGGTGTGAAATTATCTATTGCCTGTGTTTTTGTGGGTGCAGCTAACTTCTTTGGGTTGGAGTTGTTCTTCTAGTACTTTCTATAGGTCTGGATTTGTGGATATGTATTGTTTAAATCTGGTTTTGTCGTGGAATATCTTGTTTTCTACATTTATGGTGATTCAGTGCTTTGTTGGGTATAGTAGTCTGGGCTGGCATCCGTGGTCTCTTAGTGTCTGCAGAATGTCTACCTAGGACCTTCTGACTTTCAGAGTTTCCATTGAGAAGTTTGGTGTACTTCTGATAGGTCTGCCTTTATATGTTACTTGGCCTTTTTCCTTTGCAGCTCTTAATAATCTTTCTTTATTTTGTATGTTTAGTGTTTTGATTATTATGTAGTGAGGAAACTTTTATTTTTGATCCAGTCTATTTGGTGTTCTCTAATCTTCTTGTACCTTCATAGGCATGTTCTTCTTTAGGTTGGGAAAGTTTTCTTCTATGATATTGTTGAATGTATTTTCTTTACCTTTTAGCTGGAATTCTCCTTCTATCCCTATTATTCTTAGGCTTGGCCTTTTCATGGTGTTCCATATTTCCTGGATGTTTTATCTTAAAAATCTGTTGAATTTAACATTTTCTTTGACTGATGAATCTATTTCCTGTATTGTATCCTCAACACCTGAGAGTCTCTCTTCCATCTCTTATATTCTTTTGGTTATGCTTGCCTCTGTAGTTCCTGTTTACTCAGATTTTCCTTTTCCAGAATTCCCTCAGTATGTGTTTTCTTTATTGCCTCTATTTTAATTTTCAAGTCTTGCACTGTTTCCTTTATCTGTTTGATTTTTTTTCCCTTGGGCTCTTGGCTTACTTTACGGGATTTACTGATTCCTTCCCATTTTTTGTTGGTCTTTTCCTCCACTTCTTTAAGGGAATTTTTCATTTCCTCTCTAGGGGCCTCTATCATCTTCATCAAGTTATTTTTAAGGTCGTTTTCTTCTGGTTCATCTGCATTGGGATGTTCAGGTCTTGCTGTTGTAGAATCACTAGTTTCTGGTGGTGCCATATTGATCTTTATGTTGTTGGATGCATTCTTACACTGTGGTCTACCCATTCCTTCCCCCAACCCGTGCACGTGGGGCCTGTGCCTCCGGGAGTCCCTCTTCCTCCAATTGGTACAGGTAGAGCATGTGGGTCAGGTGGTTGCTAGTGATGCAGGGGATGGGTGGCAAGGGAGCAGGGGAGGATGCTGCTGCCCGGTCTCTGGGGTCTTCTTCCCAAGTGGTACAGGTTGCTCCAGTGGTTGCTGGTCCCTCACTGGATGGTTGGCAAGGAGGCAGGGGAGGAGGCTGCTGCCAGGACTCTGGGGCTGAGATGGGTTGGGGGAGGGGTATGGTGTGTGCCCCCAGGGTCTAGGGGCTAGAGATCTGGGCTGTACAGCTGGGAGCTCAGGGACTCACCTCTTCTTCCCAATCAGTGCAGGTGAGTCATGGAGGGAATTTCTTTTTTTTTTTTTTCTGAATCCATGGTGTTTAATTAGCATGGTTGTTCAAACAATCCTTTAGAAATGATTATATATAAACTGACTCCAGAGAATAACAACATTAGAAAAAAAACAAAGTACTGGTTTCACCTGAGGAAAAAAACCAATATAAACTGACTCCAGAGAA